AGACACCTGCCTTGTCTTGTCTCTGCCGCTGGGAACAGTCCCGTATCAATAGCTCTCTACTTGCGCTCGGATTGACGTCTGCCAAGTTTGTGATCCTACTGCACAGCCCCCCCCCCCTTTCCCCCCATTCCTCCTCCGAAAGGGGCCCGAGCCCGCGCGGGTCGACGACACGCCGATGTATTTCTTTCCGCGGAGGGGAGCGTCGTCGAGGCGGCATTAATAATGTGGTACAGCCCTCCCTTCCGCGAGCGTGCTGTGTGCTGTCCGTCCGCGGGCCTCGTGTCCTGCGCGCCCGCCGCCCATGGCGAGCCCGTGGCGCCACTCAATGTCAGGACCCATGGCATCTTCCTCCGCGGTAGTCGGGAAGCGCGGCTCGAGGTCGATGTCGCGTGCAGTTTTCGTCTTGTTTTCGTTGGACGCGACGCGCGGCGCGGAGCCGCGGGTGAAAATATTTCCGATAGCTGATCCCAAGAGTCCCCTGCTGCTCGCTGACGAGGAAGGGGGCTCAGGGCGGCTCTTGGCAACAAACTCGAGTGTCTCGTTCAGCCGGCAGATATCCTTTGTGTGCGGGCCGGGCCAGGGCGCGCCCGGCTCGGCGCCGGCCTTGGGCTCCTTGCTCGCCTGCTGCACCTATACCTCTCGACGTGGCGCCGCGGCTTAGCGGGGGCGTCCCGCGCGAGTCCCGGTGTATGCACTTGTACTGTCTCCGGGATGCCCCCTACCCCGCCCCCCTCCGACCCGCTAGTTTGTCGACCCACGCGTAGCCGCGGCGTGTGGTGCACTCGCTGAGCACGTGAACGCCGACGCTGCCGTTGACGTCACTCGAGGAGGACTGGGGCGCGGCGGGGGCGGAGCGCCACACTCTGGTGGGGAGGGGATGACGCGCAGGTCAGTCACTCTGCCCAGGCGTGCTCGCTCGCGGTCTCCTTCCTCCCCCACCTCCCCTACTCCTCCTGCCCCCCTGCTCGGCCCGCGCTGACCTCCGCGTTTCCCTCTCTGGTGTTGCAGCGCTACTACGGCGCCATGGACCTCAAGGCGGCCGACACCCTGCTGTCCTTCGCGGTGCCCGCGCTGGACCAGCTGCCGTGCCGGAAGCGTTGCCTGTCGCCCGACCTGGCGCCCGCCACCCCGCCCACCACGGACTCAGAGGGCGAGGACCGCGACGACTGCCCGGCCAAGATGGTGAGTATCCTCTCGAGTAGCGGGGGAGGGTTGTCTTGTCCTTATCTCGGAGCACCGCGACAAGGTGGTTGACGTCAGGATGACACGGCCCTCCGCCTCAGCGGCCGCTAAACTAGAACGATCCAGATTTCGCGAATTTCCGCATCGCTCGACTCGACTTAACGCCTGCTCTCTTCCACTTGCAGCTGAAGGTGGTCGTCGAGCACCGCGGCGTCTCCGTCATCATGAAGGCCAACAAGGACGGCACGTGCTCCCCGGAGCCCTTCGGCGTGGTCCGCTCGGCGCGCACCCGCCTCGCGTCGCTGTCCTCGTCCTACTCGGGCGACTCGGACGCCTCCTGCGACGCCTCGTCCGACGACGCGACCAGCGACACCGCCTCCTCGTGCTGCGAGGACACGTCCTCCTCGTCCTCCGCCGCCGCCTCGCCTCTGGCCGCCGCCTACCGGCCGCGACGCCCGGCCGCCCCCGCCGAACCGTGGGAACGACAGAACATCCTCAAAAGCCTCAAGTACAAGATGAGCACCCGCAAGGAGGAGATATTCGTAAACAGCAAGGACACCAATCGGGAGGGCAAACTAGCCACCGAAAAACCCACGGCCGCGCTGCCAGTTACCCTCCCCGTCCCCGTCATGCTCCCCCAGGCCGTCCTGCCCCCGGCCGCCGCCCCCCAGCTCCGCCCAAAAATGAATCTCCCCCCTGTCTCACCGCTCAGCAGTATTACGACGACCACCCCAGCCGCCCCCCGCGGCGCCGTGGCCATCGCCCCCAAGCCGCCCGCCCAGGTGAGTGACACACTTTGGTGTAGTACTTACGCGCCTCCACGCGCATGCTCGCCCCCGGCCATGCCTCACCGTCTTGCTCCCCTTGTCCTCGCAGACCGCCGTGATCCTGACGGGCGGCCTCATCCCCGTGCCGCTCATGGTCATCTCCAGCAGGCAGACCGCCAAGGCCTCCAGGTCGGCGTCCAGCCCGTGCAGGGAGGAGGCCGGCGGGCGCCGCCGCGTGTACGAGTGCCACTTCCCGCGCTGCGGCAAGAACTACTTCAAGTCCAGCCACCTCAAGGCGCACATGCGGACGCACACCGGTGAGTAAGCCTGACACCTTTAAGCTGCGCCCCTTCTGGTTATGCTGTACCGGTGCGGGCGGGCTTCCCTGCCGACCCTCACCACGGCGCCTATGGCCCCGTGCGGGTATGCAACCCGTCTGCACGCCTGTATGCGGTACAGTATAACCAGACCAGAAGGCAATGCGGCTTCGAACGCCCACCAGCACCTTATGGATTGTATTCCACCCCCGACCGACACCTGTCACCTGTCCGAACTCACGCGCCGTCTTTGTCGTTCCTCGTTGCAGGCGAGAAGCCGTTCGAGTGCCAGTGGGACCGCTGCGGGCGGCGGTTCAGCCGGTCGGACGAGCTGTCCCGCCACAAGCGGACGCACACGGGCGAGAAGAAGTTCGGCTGCGGCGTCTGCCAGCGCCGCTTCATGCGCTCCGACCACCTCGCCAAGCACGTGAAGAGGCACCAGCGCGACCCCGGCGCCGGGCACGCCCGCGCCGCCCCCGCGCCGCTGGCCCCGGCCCCCGCTCCGCTGCAGCTGCCCGCGGCCGCGCTCCAGCCCTTCCAGCTCGCCCACGGCGTCATCCCCATCTCCGTCCAGGCGGCGCCGAGCCGCCGCTAAGCCCAGACCTCCCCTGCCGGGATGGTCGCAAGCTAGAGACGTAACCGGTGCTTTTAAATACTTAGTCAGCTGGTCTGATTTTTCTTTGTCTAAGAAATCATATAAAGTATCTTTGCCGAGGCTAACTTTTTGTTTCGCGTGAAAGCGCAAAAAATTGTTAGAAGCTGCCTGTAGTCATGTATATATATTTTGTTAC